TAGACAGTGTAAGGGGCGGACTTTTTCCTTACTTTAAACTTTTTCATACTTATTCTTTTTCAATCTATTCTTCAAAACTTATAATCTTATTTCAAATGTTTCTTATATTTATTCTCTTCTGTTATTTTTCTTCAATATATTTTTATTCTTTATATTCTTCTTTCTTATATACTTATTTACTTATTTTCTTGCTCATATCTATCTTTTATATTAATCTTTTCTGGTGTACATAGTTTAATAATTTCATATTCTATGTCGTTCTCTCTAGAAGTATGTATCTTGTTATAGTTATATTCGAAACCATGGACTAGTCTGGGAAACCATGTCATTCTTATTATAACACTTAGTATACTTACAACGGTAGCCTGCCACCACCCGGACTTATATTAGAATATAACGTATCTTAGTGAACTGTTAGGTAGCGTGCTAGCGAGTTTCTAGACACGTGAGTTACTAGTTATTTTCTGAGAACCAATGTGTAGGAGGAATAGAGCCGTGATACATGTAGTTTAATTATACAATATTTATTAACATAGGGAGTGAACAAGATGTTAATTTATTACACTCAGACCAGACTGGACCACTTAGGTCTTACTTTACACATGGCCAAATAGATATTAATTTCTTGATTACAACATTGCACACTCGTTATATTACTTCATTGTCATTACAGATGAATATATAACACACTCAACAAGATCCAAAATTGAGATATTATTAAACATATCCTGTTAATTCGGAATGAACAAAATGGCACTTTAACTAGCATTCAGTGGTAGTACACCTGGTTGGTGGACTGAACTCCTATAACAACAGTACCACTGGTAACACCAACATTCATGGGTTTAATACTCAACCCTGCTAATCATCCCAATCATAGATACCAATAATGCTCAATACATATAACCAAGATCAATGGACCGGACAAGAGTCACAAGACTGAGTCAACTGTTTGCAGGAGTTGTTTCCGCCACAGACCGCCGAAGCTCGCTCGCAAGGAGCGCGCGGAGGGGTAGACTTGGAACAGTGTCTCCGCACTGCATTCTCTGGGTAATCTTGTCCTTGGATTCTTATCTCGCCATATTAAAGACATCCTTCAAAAACCATCTTGCCCATAGGCGACTACCAAACCTCAGTAATGGTGCCAACACAGACAGTGCCTGGAGATGCATTGAGGAAGAGTCACTAACGTGTTAAAATGGTCTAACTTCAACTATACATAACATACGTCTGGCGACGATACAGACGACACTTACTCTACTCGAATTACTTGGCACATGATTATTTCACTCTTTTTAAAACATGAACACTGATATTCACAAAATCGACTAAGTTAAACTGACTTAACATGGCGGCGGGAAACAATCGTTCACATACCTGGAGGTGCGTTGAGGAGGAGTCACTAATGGGTGATTTTTCCTTGTGCATTCGTATATATGAGAGCCTGGGGCAGTTCCGGCCTAGCATCCATACCAGAAAGGCTAATCTCACCAACAACAGAAATCCTATTCAACTCGGTCGCTGTACACTGAGCTATAAACGTCAGTGTCACGGGTCAGGCTAATTTTCCACGTCTATCCCTATAATCTAATCAGAAATTGAGTTTGTCAGGAAAAAGTGAAATGGACGTTAAACACGCACTGACAACTCTTATACTGCCAGACTGGGGTCACTAATTCTAAGGGGAAATACTTAACTCTAATCTTAATATCTAAGGGTCGCTGCCACCAGACCCCCTCTGGACAGTATGTAACTCGTTAGGTAGCGGGAAGAGTGGACTAGGCATTGGGTTAGGTTTTTCATTGACCAGATCGATAAGGGGAAAGAAGGGTGAAACCACAACGTCTTAGTTCTTTCACTTGTTCTTTCTACTTACTTCAGTTCATTTTTGGTACAACCTAACCTCAGTTCTTTGTGGTAGCATGTCGATGGTCTAGGCACATGGGTAGTGTAATTCTGATATCAGGGTCCCTTGGACTGAAATAAAGGTAACTACTGTGGGAGAAATGAATACTCCTAAAATACTCATTGAACAAGTTTATTAATATAAAATCAAAGGGGAAAAGAGATATTATTAACATATAAATACAAGGTTCAACTGGTGGGCTCATTGCACTCCGTATTTCTTATTTACTTGTTTCCTTATTTTCCTATTTACTCAACAGCAATTACTCAGATATTACACTCTTACCGTGCACACTCTTACTGGTGTCACATTACATTACATAGCCGGACCAGTTCCTTGTCCTTACTCACAATACAGTTACATGGCAACTCCTTGCAGCTTACTTTACTTCTCCCACCTTACTAGGTATTTCTCATTGCATCCAGTTATAAGACCAACTGGCATATGATGCTTCACAGACTGTTGGTAGTGTATAGGAGATGCACTCACAACACGCTAATACTGATACAAACACCGACATGGGTCCACTACCCAACATGGGGTAATTGTTAACAAACACATACAACCACACTGTGGACCATAACTCCAAGGCCTGTCCCAGGGTATAGCACTGGCGCCTCTAACAACTGCTGTTGTGGTCGGTTACACTCCGACACGAGGCGGGTCTGGAGTCCTTGGCCCACGAGGTAGAGTGGAGCAGATTAATCATGCCGAATCAGCGCCATCACTCCTCTATTGACCACTGCTGGGTATCCACCGGCTCCGAGCGACCGGTGGGTTTCAATTAAGCCCACCCTCGATCTGAGAACGAAGGTGAAAGGTGATACGGGAGGTTTTTGGGGAAGCATGGTGGGTCACAAACAAATCTTTAGTCTCGCCACGTCAGATATGTACGTTATATTACTTCTTGCACTTGGTGAATGACAATTCCACTGTTAAAGCATGAACACTGATGAACACTGATATTCACTACAATAGACTGAATCAAACTGAATGGTTATAAACACAGAACATACCTGAGAACGAAGGCGAAAGGTGATACGGAAGGTTTACTCCTCCCGCCTCGCACTGGTTTATATACCCCTGAGTTGCCAGGGATCGCTACTCACGCAATGAAAGAAATTACAATCAATCTAACTGTTACTCATTCAGTTGACAAAGGTCTGGCGAATTACTAAAGTTGATTTACACAGACTAATTCAAGATTGCGTTTGCCAGTAGAGAGTGGAATAAACGTAGTGACAACTGTGTTCGAAGGCGGGACTTACTGGGAGTGATCCTGAGTGTAAAACGGATGGGAAAAACACGTCTCTCCTGAGATTCTACAAGTGCGGTGGATTTGAATGTTATGTAGCGTAATATGAATTAAAGTGGGTTTTTAGGAATGACAATGATGTGCACAGTACACTCTACTTACAGGAAACCACAAACCACAGCCAAGGAATTCTTCCTGAGAAGAGCCGTTAGGTCTTGGAGATTTTGAGTTTGACAGAATCTTTTCAGGAGATTAATGACTTTCTAAAACAGACAACTGACACTAACTAAACTACAAACATCCGATTCTCTGATGTTTGGACATCAAAATAATCTAACTTGAGTAGCACTTGGAAACTCATGGCTATCTCCAAGGACGATATAAGGATATGCCATTCATACTGACAGACTCGACACTCACTTACTTGACAAGTTTTACTAACAATAAGGACAGTTGAAGCTTTCAACATCACTTACAATTGATCTTGAATGCTCCAACTGTAATCACACATATCTGAGTTGCCTCAACATGTGCAACCACAGCTGCAATTTCAAATTTTGTGTCATTACTAAGGAATAACGAAGTCTCGGGTGCACGATAAGATTAAGAGAAAACGAAGGACTCAGGCGTCCTGAAGCGATGAGAAAACGGACTCCTCAGATGGGGGACTCAAATAAAGAAAGCATATCTACATGTTTTTTGGGGCTATTGAGCGTAATATGAATCGTTTGATTTTATGTTAACTGATGTGTACAACCGTAGTCATTACAGCAGCAAGTAAAAATCAGCAGTATTGTCGCAGAGTACAAAGCTGACACGTCCGACCAGTACGGCCAGCGTTCAGAGAATGATTTGCCTCCTGATCCAATGTTTGTTGGTTAGAGACCCGGCACCGGCCACTGAAACTGGCCTTGGTCGAATGCAATGTTAACCAAATTACCGAAGGCTTACGGCCATATTATTAAACAACATCTTCCCTTGAAGAATATCTTCATATCGAAAGCCATATTTTTAAATGCGAAGAACCTTTTAGTGCAGCACACGAAAGAGTGTGTTGGCATGAAAACGAACTAATTGCACCAAACTTTGAAGAGGTGGCTATGAGCTGCTTTTCGTCACCCTCTTCATAATTATTTTGTTAGTTTTATTTAATATTTCTTGTCAATACGATTAACGTACAAAGAAACACGTATTGGTAATTTTACAAATGTTTTTTTTTACATTATTGATTTTACGGCCCATATTATGAGTGCAAAAGCTGTGTTCCCTGTCCTAATACGACTTTCGTAAAAGCTGTGCTGCCTGTCAATTTGTTATTGCCAAAGGCAAGCTGCTGGAGTCATCCCATCTTACTAACGCTAGTACTAATCTGGTAAGCACATTTACGGTAATTTATTAAACTTTTTAGCAGTTTTATAAGCGAGTTTCTGTCAGGAAAATATTAACTAGTGACGTTCTTGCCTAGAAATATTCCAATGGATAGAGGCAAATTTCACTGGGAGAAAATCATCTCAAAACTTTAGGTTGCATATATTAATAAATTAAGTCCATTTAAGTGACTTAATGCAACTTTGTAGCAGTTTTATAAATGAGTTTCTATCTGGAAAATATAAACAGGGAAGGTTTATGCCTAAAAATATCAAAATGGGTAGAGGCAAATTTCACTGGGAGGGCATTATCACAAGGATGGTAATATTACATACAAGAACACCTTTTATACAGTGGATCATGATATAATATGTGAAATACTGCAGGCTCTAATTTTTCAACACCAATTACATTATTTCGTTTTGGTAAACTTCCGTTTGGCTGAATTAGGTGCATAATAAAACAAGTTCACTGGAAGCTGGAGTTTGATTATTTAACCTTAAGCATATATGATACAATATTTTGACTAATATAGAGGACTTCACAGCAGCTTCCCCCGTCTCGGTAATAGTAAGGTCGCCCACGGCAAGTGATAATTTATGCTAGGTTAGGTTAACTTAACTTTACTTTAACTTATAAATACTCTAACACCTTTTCCAAAATTTGCCATAAATACGACCGTCTCACTATAAAACATATTGAAATTGCGGTGTTTAGAAATTTGTTTTCTCTGAAAACAAAAATTTTTAAGCTAAGACAATATAATAAAGGCATATCAGCCCTTAAAGGCCATTTCCTATTATTTTATGCATTACTGTACATAATTATTATTTTTTAATTACATTGGAAACTGAAATTTTTTATTTCCCCGGTGTTTTTAACTAATAGGTTGAATTGGCAAAAGGAAATTTTTAGAGGTGCTATGTGAAGAAAGAAGACAGAAGGAGTGCAATGCTGACATTAGAAGAAAGTCGAAGATGAAGAGGTGGATTAGAAGAAGGACCAACCCACGACAACTGCTGTACTGCCGGCATCCCCTATTTTTCAGATACCAGCTGGATGGAAGACGTGAGCTGTGCTGGACCCCACTAATGTACTGATGTGGTTGATGTTGTTGATGTACAATAAAAAGATATAATACCCTAACATGTGAAGCAGGAACATTGTTTGTGTATTTTGGAGTATTTTCTCTGATTTTTGTTGATGTTTACTACAAAGAATGCAAGAGTATGACACTAACTTCGGTTTCCTGTATGACTTGGAGAAACTTCGAGATATGAAAGAAGACTACATCATGAAAGAGCGATGTATAGCTTTGGATAATTCATTGAGTGTTGGAAATTTTCACGATATTGATTGTGCAGACCTGTTCTCAGAGCTTCGAGTACTCCAAGAACTTATTCCTCAAGAAACAAACAGTGCACTTCAAGTCCTTCAGATTCTCAAGTCTCTAAATGGTTCCTTCCCTAAGGCAGAAATAGCATATCGGATTTTATTGACAGTTCCAGTCACAGTGGCATCAGGGGAGCGGAGTTTTTCCAAGCTGAAATTAATAAAGAAATATCTAAGAACAACTATGTCTCAAGAGAGATTGAATGCATTGGCTATGCTCTCCATCGAAAAGGAACTAGCAGAAAGTTTGGAATATCAAGATTTAATAGCAGTGAACATAATGGGTTAGTACCCCGATATAACAGTGATATTAATGTGTCCATGTCATTGAGTGAATTAATAAATAGTTGTATCGAAGAGGTGTTTAACAAGTTGTCCCTTTAAGAACGTAATATATGTGTATTGGCATACGAGATAAGATAAGCGTATTGACGCTGAGTAAATAACATCACGGCCACGCTACCCAACTTCCTGTCTTTACATCCTCCTACTATAAATATTCTACCCATATGCAATATCCTCTTTTGGTGAGTTTTGTCTCATTATACTGGTCCATATCCCTCAGCATTTAAACATGTTGCAATTCGTAACCATGCTTGTTTCTTTAATGTAACAAGCTTCCCACAAGTACTTTTATTTTGCAAAATTTTCTCCTCTCCAATCAAATAAACTAAGAAATCCCGGGAAATTTTGGAGGAAAAAATATCCATGACGAGAGCTGCTACAATAATAAATTTGGCGCCAACGAAGGTAAACAAACACACACAGGACCCATAATGCATCAGCGAAGGAGACAGTATTACCAGACCTAAAAAAATCATCCCGCACGAAGTGGAAGAGGTTCGAGCATTTAAAAATACCGCTTAATGGAACAATACCTTCGAAAAGATTCTTCGTTG